CACGGAGACCTAGACTTCTGGAGATAGGCGCTGGAGTTAAACTCGCGACGAAAGGAGAGTCACCAAGCGCGTTTCACTTAGCACGTTTTTGTTTAACCACATCCAACGCACGCCTCCCCGTCAATACCTATCGGATGGTAGCTTCGACGCAGTAGGCGGACACTGTCCCGAACTAAAAGTGTTCTGGCGGTATCGATTTAAACCCGCGTTTACGGCGGAGCCGAAAGGAAAGCAGTAGCCAAAGAAGCCAGCGCAATCACGATCAACACGCTAGAATTGCTCGGAATGATAATTACATGCTGGGTGGTCCAAATGGTCGTAGGAGAAAAGCCGACGCAATCCGGACAAGCTATCATGATGAGGGGAGACAACGTGTCGGCGGTATCATGGGTAAACAGCAGCGGGGGCTCGAGAGATAGGCGAGCGGGACTGCTCATGAGACTGCTTGGTCGTATCGAGATTGACAACGGATGGTGTCACGTGGCGAAACACATCCCGGGACACGAGGATACCCTCGCGGACGGGATATCTAGGTGGAAGTCAGAGGACGTAGAAATCAATGTGGAAATACTCACGCATGACGATAACTGGCGAATGCAAACATCGGAGATGACGGAAGAGAACTAATTGAAATGATGCTGCAGGAGAAACTCCCGAACCAAGGAATAGATGGCCTCGTATGGAGCCGCATGGCAAGCGTGCAAAGAGCAGAAGTGATGAGAGAATGATCAGTAAAAGAACTAAAAGGTGTGATGACTCTAACGCGTTCAAGCGCAGGAAGCGACCACGGGACGAAGGGAACGAGCGATGAAGGCGAAAGGCTCCTCAGGATTAGTCTATGGAGCACGGCTCCCTCAACGCGAGCACGCTGAGGGGATACCACAGCAAGTGGGACACGTGGACAGCTGAAAGAGCTAAAGCGAATCTGAGTCCATGGTTGTACGAAGAATACGGTGTGGAAACCGCAGTGAGAGAGCTGACTGTGTTCATGGCGTCGAGGTGTTTAGTGAACAAGAACCAGAGCCAAACGGTGAAGGGGTACCTCGCGGCTATCAAGTACTTCCATTAACTGTACGCAGGCTGGGAGCTGCCCACGTCTCACTTCAGAGTAGTAGCTGTTGGGAACGCAATAGACAGACTGCACCAACCGCTCACCGTGCCGATGATTATTGCTGGGAGAGAAAGAGCGCAGACGAATGCTTTCGGACTAGTGACGTGGATGGGGACCGCTCTCTCGTATTTCTTGCTGTGTCGAGCGTCGGAGCCGTGGGCCTACCACAACGGCTTAGTACACGCCGATTTTTGTCTCACGAGAGGGAACCTCGTATTCTTCGAAGAAGCGTGTCGGCTAGCGTGGAACGAAAGAAGGCGGGAAGACAGAGTAGAGGTGACCTTTCGCGCATCGAAAGCGGACCAAAAGAGGTGAGGCGCGGTGGTGACGAGAGAGAGTAGTGCAGGACGAGGAAGGGGAACAGATGGCTGAGAAGATGGGGGCGCTACTGATTTGGCTGAATCCACTTGACGTGCACCCAGAGTTAGGAAGTAGCGTGCCGCTCATCATGCAGTCGGTCAAGCAGGGACGGTGGGCAGTAGTGTCGAGGTCGGAAGCAACGACAGCGCTGAGAGACATGGCGAGAAGAGTAGGAGAAGACCCAACGCACTTCGCGCTGCATTCAGGGAGGATAGGTGGTGCGACGCAACTAGCAAAGCAGGGCGCATCGGTTGTTCAGATTCAGAGGGCGCGGAGGTGGAAGTTAGGAGCCTTAATGACCTACGTTAAGGGCAGGAGGCGAAGGCGCAAATTATGTATCGCGCGCACTAGCGTCTAGCTGAAGGGCAGAAATAGCGTGGACAACAGCGCCGAGGATCGGGCCGCGCAATGGGATATGACCTGGGCATAGACGTCGGGTTGGCCCGATAAGTGATACCTAGTGAGTCCGAGAGGAAGTCAATGGTTCGGCTCATAGGTTGGATTTTGGATTTGATATTTCTTGGTTTCGGCGTTTCTGATTTCTTGTCACATTTTTTTATAATCCAAATTTCTTGAGCAAAACACAAAACGAAGGATTCCGTATAACCGTGAATCCGTGGTTTGTGGAAGCGTTCCGGAATTTTCGTGAAAGAGTGACGAGAGGCAAAAAAGGGTACACGGGGGTATACAGCTATATACAGGGTACAAAGAAGAGAGAGTGGCAGAAGCTTTTGGGATCCTTGGGAAGCCGAGGACCTCAAAGGGAAAAGAGTTGTATCGCCCGCAAAGGCCGTGCAGCAAAGCAGCAGCGAGAGAATGGAGTTTCCGTTTGGGACTTGATCGAATCTTCCCACCCACCCACCCTGTCGTCATTGCTAATCTATCTTTTCTTCGATGGAGATGGATTCGTAGGGTCATACTGATGATGAAAATACAAAACTTGGCCAAGGAGCGCAGCGCCGCCGACGACAAAAAACTAAAACTCCGCCTCATGACATCAGTGACTGACATCGATGGTGGACAACAAAAAATCGATCCTCAACCAGAAAATGACACGTCTTATTATACGCATGTCGCCGGGCGCCACTCAGCAGTACCCTGCTGCCTGCACACCAGCCATCATGTTAGAACTCGGTAGATACCGGAGGGAGCACTTTTTCTTTCTAGACAAACACACACGTAAAAAAATAAAAATCAGAAACAAAGACCGGGAGAGTCCCCCAACAGGAAAACCTACCCCACTACCGAATGANGGTGGGCAGTAGTGTCGAGGTCGGAAGCAACGACAGCGCTGAGAGACATGGCGAGAAGAGTAGGAGAAGACCCAACGCACTTCGCGCTGCATTCAGGGAGGATAGGTGGTGCGACGCAACTAGCAAAGCAGGGCGCATCGGTTGTTCAGATTCAGAGGGCGCGGAGGTGGAAGTTAGGAGCCTTAATGACCTACGTTAAGGGCAGGAGGCGAAGGCGCAAATTATGTATCGCGCGCACTAGCGTCTAGCTGAAGGGCAGAAATAGCGTGGACAACAGCGCCGAGGATCGGGCCGCGCAATGGGATATGACCTGGGCATAGACGTCGGGTTGGCCCGATAAGTGATACCTAGTGAGTCCGAGAGGAAGTCAATGGTTCGGCTCATAGGTTGGATTTTGGATTTGATATTTCTTGGTTTCGGCGTTTCTGATTTCTTGTCACATTTTTTTATAATCCAAATTTCTTGAGCAAAACACAAAACGAAGGATTCCGTATAACCGTGAATCCGTGGTTTGTGGAAGCGTTCCGGAATTTTCGTGAAAGAGTGACGAGAGGCAAAAAAGGGTACACGGGGGTATACAGCTATATACAGGGTACAAAGAAGAGAGAGTGGCAGAAGCTTTTGGGATCCTTGGGAAGCCGAGGACCTCAAAGGGAAAAGAGTTGTATCGCCCGCAAAGGCCGTGCAGCAAAGCAGCAGCGAGAGAATGGAGTTTCCGTTTGGGACTTGATCGAATCTTCCCACCCACCCACCCTGTCGTCATTGCTAATCTATCTTTTCTTCGATGGAGATGGATTCGTAGGGTCATACTGATGATGAAAATACAAAACTTGGCCAAGGAGCGCAGCGCCGCCGACGACAAAAAACTAAAACTCCGCCTCATGACATCAGTGACTGACATCGATGGTGGACAACAAAAAATCGATCCTCAACCAGAAAATGACACGTCTTATTATACGCATGTCGCCGGGCGCCACTCAGCAGTACCCTGCTGCCTGCACACCAGCCATCATGTTAGAACTCGGTAGATACCGGAGGGAGCACTTTTTCTTTCTAGACAAACACACACGTAAAAAAATAAAAATCAGAAACAAAGACCGGGAGAGTCCCCCAACAGGAAAACCTACCCCACTACCGAATGAGAACTCCAGGGTCAAAACAGGAGGATCAAAATTAACTGTGTACATAGGTGGCCGGTATGTATACAATACTGCAGTGTGTGGCTGTATTCGGTATGAAGCACCTCCGCAACACCTTAGGCAGCGACTGAAATATCGGGGTACGAGATGCCAACGACTTTTTCCGCGCGCTGCGGCACCAAATCGATCAGACGGATAATACAAAGCGGGCAGGCCCGTGTACGCTGAACAGCAAACATATCGACAACTGCCGTCACCACCGCCCCGGTGCGCGCTTAATGGCGTCGTGTCCTCCAAGTTCGACAACAATCAATAAAAAACGAAACACAAACAGACAACAGCAACCGTTCCAACCACTCCAAGCGCTACGATTCATTCACCACATTCATTGGGAAAAAAAACAAAACGCTTGCTTTTGCGATGCTGATAACACCCAAGGACCATATCCGCGATACGTAGCCGGATCTATCCATACACCGAAAATGACGTAAATTGAACAAGTCCCAGGTCGGACAAATCAACGTATAAGGCACACGTTTTATCAACGTGGACAACTCTTGCCCACGGACCCGCGCCGAAACTTTATCCTTTTCTGCCCAGAGGAGATGTGGTAAGGCACGCGTGTCGCCTTGAATTATCAGTCCCACATCATGTTGCGCCCGAGCAGTTTGAAGAGGCGCTGGGTGTAAGGGCGGAATCGACAGCGGCAGCCGAAATCACATGGTACAAGCTTAGTATAAGACGGGGTGGGATGCCATTCTGGCGTGCTTTGCAACAGTACTGCACCTAAATCCTACGCCAATGAAGCGTTGGGGTTAGGGGCGGGGGGGGCAGAAGTTGAGGGAGAAACAACACACGGGGTGAAATCGTACGCCTACATGGTCGACTTCATAAGTCGCGATCGCGATAAAAAATATCTCAGGCAGGAACCACAGGAGGGGGTCCAGCCCCCCCCTCCTATGTGACCCCGATTGGGTCGTCTAGCTATTAGTAGAAGTGGAGGATAGGGGCCAGAGGGGCAGACGGCAAAGACCAATGATGGGAGAAAATAGAAAAAAATGGTGATGGTGATAACCCGCAGAGTGCGAATTTCCACACATCTTTTTTCTCTCTATCTCGCCCGCCCCCCGCGCCCTTTCATCCCCGCCTTCCCCGCAATTTCTCCCGGGGAGGAGGCGTGGAAGATGAGAATCGGAAACCAAGAGGGACTAGAGGAGAGGAAACGGGGTGCCCGGCATGGTTCTCCCCGCACGCGGTGCGTTTCACTCTAAGCAAGCAAGCAGGACTCAAAGCAACGGAAGCACCACGCTTCGAGCGGTCAAGCAACGCCAAACACACCTCGTTGTGCGGCCGATACCATTCCCGGAAGCGGTCCTCTTCCTCGAACATCTTGTCATACCTACTCGCGCGCGTCCCACGTTACAAACGAAAGCGAAACGGAGAGAATCACAAGGTTGTGAATTCTTGCAGAGGCAGAAAAGCCTTGTGATCACCGCGAAACAAGGCCGGGCCACCAGTAGTAATTCCGTGCAGAAGACTGACCTCTCCGGTGAGGAGGAAGGGGTCCGCAACCCGACCAAATACAAACATTTCGCATTATGCGCGGTGATTGCGGTATTGGTTAGCCCTCCATCCCACGCTGCTGGTGCTGGCGTTGCTATTTGCTACTGGTGCTAGTGCTGGTGCTGCCGCTGCTGAGGACCATTCCAACTGTCCTCTCCCCTTCTCTCCTCTTCTCACCTGCCCCCCTCGCCGAAAAAGTCGGGGTCCTCGTCACGGCCGAGAGTCGGGCAATGGCCGGTGCTGTGCTGCACGGGACGGTCGGAGTCGAAGTCGGATCCCGGGAGGCCGATGTGCGCGGCCACCTCCGCCAAGACGCCCGGCAAGTCGTTCATCATCCTGGACGACTCGACTATTAAGATCTATGTTGTCCGCCGCCGCCGGAGATAGACGCAGAAATATATAAACAGGGAACGAATAAGAGGGAGGCAAGTGTGGTGGTGGTAGGCGGAGAAGAGACAGGCACATGAAACACCAAAAAAAAATCGAGCAAGAGCGAGGGCAGCGTATTGGTGGTAGGCAAAGAGAGAAGACGCCGCGAGGAAAAAAAGGAGAACAACAAAAAATGGGAGGCAGTGTGGTGGTGGTGGTGGTGGTACGCACAACGTGAGGCACGGGCGGAGAGAGAGCGAAGATTAATCAAATCATGGTGCTTTTATGTGCAAACGGTAGAAGAAGAGCCTTCTTCGTGTTCTTCTTGCTAGCCGCAGCCCTTGACGGTGCCCTGGCGCATCGCTGGCGGAGAGACAGGAGGGGAGGGTCGAAGCGTGCGCGCGCGCAGTCTGCACCCCGCGGCGAGATCCTGTTATTTTCGATGCGACGGTGCAAATGCATACGTTGGTGGACCAACTGGACTGACCCTGGCAGCGTAAGAGGGTTGTTTTGTCGGAAGTATTTTATGTCGCGCCCGCCGTCACAACACCGCACGTTGTTCTGCCAATGAAAACGGGTGCTCTGCCTCGCCCGATGCAGCCTTGGGCCGCACTCGTTGCCCCACGGGGAATGTTTTCGTGGACGGGTTCATTGGTTCTTCCGTTCGAGTTATTGCTTTTGTATTGCCAGAATATATCGACGTTCGTGTGATATTTCTTTCTGCCTCTTCTTCGACAAATCATCAACCCTGCTTACCCCGCCACCTGAATCCCGCCCCACGATCGATTGCTGGTATACATCGGGTTTAATTGTCTTCACCAAGTTGCGGTCACGAAGTGGACCGCACCAATGCCTGCAGTTGAAGTTTCGAAGCAGATACAAGTTCGAAACACCGCAGGGGCGAGGCAGTTGTTGTGCAGGGAGTGCAGGGAGTACCCAGGCGTGAGAAAGAGTTAAAAGCCAGTCGTCGACCGCCACACTGTCGGTGGGAGCACCGCCGCACACAAAAAGCAAAAAAAAACACGTGCCTGCCCAATGGCTCACAAAAAAAGTCTTCCCGCAGTACCCGAACCCCCCCCTCCCCCTCCCGGGAGGAGGGAATGGGACGAAAGAATTATGTTTTTTTCGTGGTACATTTTTGTAGAGGCTTTGTTGACTTTCTCCCTCTCTGTTGCGTGTGCTTGGGTGTGCTGGTGTTTACGGCACGCAGAAGTGCACAACGACCACGGGTAAAAGTAGTTATTTGATAGCTTTTGAGATAGTTAATGATGGTGTGTACATTCGGCGCCGGAAGATTGTTACTTCATAAATAGCTACAATAGCTGCTGTGATGGGCTACGAACTTCTAGCTATAGTTGGTTGTCAAGTCTTGGGAGTACTGTGATTGTAGACACCCTGCCCCTCAAGCTAGAAGTATCTTAGAACATCGCATGCTTCTGCGACAAGTCCGACGTTTGACCTTGGTCGAACATGGCGAAATGACACACGACACACCAAAACGAAAAGACGCATTGACTAAATACCATGCGTCGAAACGCCATCAATCCAAGCATACCCAAGTCGGCAACATGCCGAGTAGGGGCTGCCGATGAGCCTACGGCGGCGGCATCACTTTCGCCGTGTGCAACACCCGTCCACAATTGCCATTGTCGTGCGTTCAAGTACTTATTCACTCCCCCAGGCCCCTCAACCTCAACAAGACTTAACAGCCGGTTCTTCAAGCGCTTTTTTGCCCCGAGCGCCTTCGCCCTCCCTCCTCGCCCCCCCCCTTCTCCTCCTCCTCCCCTCACCAAGCTCTCTATCGCTCTCTCCTCTGCTATACGAACGGTATACGCGCAAGCTCAAGCCCGCCCAGGGGCTACGTGGGTTGATATTATACCCCCGTGCATGCATTGTGCCCCCTTTATACATGGGATTTAGTATAGGCGTGTACATATAGATAATTTTATGGCGCGGGGGGGGGTGGGGGTGTGGGCCTTCGTAACTCCCCCCCCTAGCCGCCCCCCATTTTAGACTTACGTGGGTTGGCGCTGTTGGCAAAGCGCTGTAAAACACGCCACCACAAATAAAGCCCCCATAGTATGCGCTACCAAAGGCGCGTGACGCATGGATGCGTGGAGTGAGGATAGCTGTTTACGGGAACCTCACAGGTTGAGTGATGTTGGATAGTGCCGGACACATAGCCGTGTTGAGTTGTTATAGCTGTAAACTGAAACACCAACGGTTGAGTGAGGTTTGAGATTGCCAGACACGTGAACGGGTTGAGTGGGGATAGCTGCAAACTGAAAACCCACGGGTTGAGAGATGTTGGAGTGCCGGCCACATAGACGCGTTGAATGACGATAGACACATACTGAACCTCACACGTGATTTGTGATGGAGATTGCCGGACACATCGACATATTGAGTGAGGATCGCAATATACTCTAACCTCACAGATGCATTGGTTTCTGAGTTTGCCAGACACATAGACGCGTTTTGTGAGGATAGCTGCATACTGAAACCTCACAGATGGATTGGTTTTTGAGTTTGCCAGACACAGACGCGCTGCGTGGGGATAGCTACATACTGAAACCTCACTAGTTGAGTAATGTTGGATAGTGCCGGACACCTAGATGCTTTGAGTGAGGATAGACACATACTGAAACCTCACGGGTGATTTGCATTGGAGATTGCCGGACGCCTAGACGCTGAGTGAGGATAGCTGCATACTGAAACCTCACCGGTGATTTGCATTGGAGACTGCCGGACACCTAGACGTGTTGAATGACGATAGCTGCATACTGAATCCTCACAGATGCATTGGTTTTTGATTTTGCCAGACACATAGCCGCGTTTTGTGAGGATAGCTGCATACTGAAACCTCACAGATGGATTGGTTTTTGAGTTTGCCGGACACATACACGCGCTGAGTAGAGATAGCTACATGCTTAAACCTCACGAGTTGAGTGATGTTGAATAGTGCCGGACCCATAGATGCTTTGAGTGAGGATAGACACATACTGAAACCTCACAGGTGATTTGCATTGGAGATTGCCGGACACATGGACGTGTTGAGTGAGGATAGCTGCATGCTGAAACCTCACAGGTGGATCCGTTTTTGAGTTTGCCAGGCACATTGACGCGCTGAGTAGGGGTAGCTACATACTGAAACCTCACGAGTTGAGTGATGTTGGATAGTGCCGGACACCTAGACACTTTGAGTGAGGATAGACACAACCTGAAACCTCACGGGTGATTTGTAATGGAGGTTGCCGGACGCCTGGACGCTGAGTGAGGATAGGATAGGATAGGATAGCTGCATACTGAAACCTCACCGGTGATTTGCATTGGAGACTGCCGGACACCTAGACGTGTTGAATGACGATAGCTGCATACTGAATCCTCACAGATGCATTGGTTTTGGATAGTGGCGGACACATAGCCGCGTTTTGTGAGGATAGCTGCATACTGAACCCTCACGGATGGATTGGTTTTTGAGTTTGCCAGACACATAGACGCGCTGAGTAGAGATAGCTACATGCTGAAACCTCACGAGTTGAGTGATGTTGGATAGTGCCGGACACCTAGATGCTTTGAGTGAGGATAGACACATACTGAAACCTCACGGGTGATTTGTATTGGAGATTGCCGGACACATGGACGTGTTGAGTGAGGATAGCTGCATGCTGAAACCTCACAGGTGGATCCGTTTTTGAGTTTGCCAGGCACATTGACGCGCTGAGTAGGGGTAGCTACATACTGAAACCTCACGAGTTGAGTGATGTTGGATAGTGCCGGACACCTAGACACTTTGAGTGAGGATAGACACAACCTGAAACCTCACGGGTGATTTGCATTGGAGATTGCCGGACACATGGACGTGTTGAGTGAGGATAGCTGCATGCTGAAACCTCACAGGTGGATCCGTTTTTGAGTTTGCCAGGCACATTGACGCGCTGAGTAGGGGTAGCTACATACTGAAACCTCACGAGTTGAGTGATGTTGGATAGTGCCGGACACCTAGACACTTTGAGTGAGGATAGACACAACCTGAAACCTCACGGGTGATTTGTAATGGAGGTTGCCGGACGCCTGGACGCTGAGTGAGGATAGGATAGGATAGGATAGCTGCATACTGAAACCTCAC